AGTCCAACATGTGATCAAACAAGTGATGATAACCAAAGGGTGGACCAAAAAAGGCTTGTAAGTTGGATGAGAGAGGTCCTTGGAAGTTTGACAGAAACGCAAATCGTAGAAATATTTGATCCAACTAGGGTTGGTAACGGGTCAGGTTGGGTTCAGGTTCAATCTATTTATTAAACAGGTTGAAAATCTCAACTCAACCCAACCCAACCCATTTAATTAAATGGGTTGAGATTTTTCAACCCAACCCAACCTGTTATCTAAATAAGTTGATAGCGGGTTGACATGCTTACGATTTTATTAACCCAACCTGTTAAATAAATGGGTTGAATCTGGGTTGACCCATTTAATTTTAAAATTTTAAATAAAAAAAAGACTAGACTATTTAATTTTTTTTTTTTGAATAAAACACAATCACAAATATAAACAAATTGTTCAAAGTTTGAGTAAACACAATCACATAAAATATATATAAGTTGGATTGGACTTTGGAGGTGATAATGGAGTAATGGACTAAAGGGTTTTCTTAGGGTTTCATGATGATTAAAAATAATGGAGGCGATTGCAATTTGGAGTTTTATATTACGACGGTAGGAATTTTATTTAAGAATAAAACAAAATAAAAAATAAAAATACTAGATATAATATTAAGAATAAAATAAAATTATATAATATTTTAAATGGGTTGAAAATAAGTCGAAAAATTCCACCCAACCCAACCCATTTATTTAAATGGGTTAGGCAGGTTGACCCATTTATTTAAATGGGTTGAAAATCTCAACCCAATCTACTAAGTTTGGGTTGGGTTCGAGTTGAGTTAGCGGGTTGAGTCATTTTTAACTACGATGGATGGATATGATAAGGGTCAGGTACAAATTCTTATAACATTGGCTCTCCAATGTGTTCAGGAAGATACCGATGCCAGACCAACCATGAGTAAGGTCGTGAAGATGCTTCTCCACCCTGTGATGGATGACTAATGTCGACTAGCATTTGGTCCAACACGTTATTACTTCTTTTCTACTAGGGGTTATAAGTTTGATAAGTCCTAGGTTATGTGTGAACATTTTCAGTGTTTAAAACATATGTTATCTTGTATTTCGATGATGTTCCATCAAGTGTCTGGTCTTGACACTCTCCTTGTTATCAAATATGTTATATCGAGGACCAATATATATTTTCTTTTAATTGTATTTATGGTCACTATACATAATTCGATGGGATGTTTTATTGATCAAGATATTTATGGCGAAAACTGATATTTTATTGTCATAGGAGATATTTAAATATCTGATTAGTTATGAAATAGTTTTTTAGTATACAATTAATAGTCGAAAACAAGAAGTTAACTTAATTATATACTTCTTCTTCAAAAAATGTTCGATCTTTAACTCGGATATATATATATATATATATAATTGAATATTCTATAGCATAGAATGAGGCTTATTACCTGTTGAATTAAACCCATATTAATTTTGAGACATTTTGTTAAGATCTGCATGACATCGTAAACTGACAAGTTTTCTTAGTGTACTTCACATTAGCATGATCCTTTGTGCGCAAAAAATGGATTTTGATGACATAAAAAGAACAACTCAAATCAAACTTTGGATTTGTTGTTAGCCTTCCAACTTTGTAATCCAACCAGTCTAATAAGTCAAAGTTCCATCGTAAAAACACATGTCGGCCAAATAAATATGATAAATGTTTCACAAATCAACCACCAAATTAGTACATGGTAATGGAAATCGTATAGGTCCACAAATTGGCCACAATATCACTCTACTGTGGTGCTACTATGCACTGGACACTATGATCGCATTTAAGTAATGAACCGGTAAAAATACAGAGATAGTATCCACAGGGATAATACTTCAGAGTCTCGTGTAGTATATTAAGAATATAATGATTTCAATTAAAAAAGAAGAAAATATATTTGATCGATGTAATTAAAAATGGAGGCTTTACAATTTAAATGTCACGTAAGAGATAATTAAAAATGGAGGCTTTACAACAAAAATTAAAGAGGTAATTAAAAATTGGTATAGGTGTAAACGTCAGCTAATGCGACGCTTTGTATTAAAAGTGTCCTAAAAACTTGTTATGACACCCAAAAACGTCATATAAACTTATTACAACACCTTTAGATAGAACGCTTTATATTTTGGTCCTATAAATTAAGTCCTATAAAGCGGTCTATTTGGACACTTAGAGATTGGGTGTGTCCTATGAACCCAATTTTGTTGTAGTGATACCACCCTTGACTGATGTTTGAACCTTATTTACAAAATGATGCAAAACCCCCTATCTCTACATGATTATAAAAGACTTTCTCAAATTTTTTTGCATCACTCAAGTCGTATTTCAGTGTCCGTCCAATCTCTGGGTCTAAGACCAAATACTAACACTTTCAAGTGATCGGATTGTATGCATTGACTTGAAGTTTCAATTTGAGTAAACAAGCCTAAGAGTTAGGTGTTTACTAATCTTAGGACTGACTCACACTCACACCTAAAGAGATGCTTAGTTAATAAGTTAAACTAAAGAACATAGTTGAAAAAGAGAAATACTTAAAATTACTTGTATTGAAAATAAATTACAAACTGTCGCCATTATGTTGACATAGTAGCAACTAGGGTTGAAACTTAAAGACTTTAAAATAATTCACAACTACAATTACAAAATATAGAGAGAAATGACTGGAGATCTCTAAATTGCTGGAGCTTTCTTTGAATGTTTCACCATGACCTCTTTATATATTGGAAAAAGAGAGATGAATAAATCATTTCAAGGCAAGGATTTTTGAAGGATTAATTTAAACCTTTTCTCTTTGCTAAATGTAATAGTGTGTATCCTTAGATTGTTTAGATAGGTTTCTTTACCTTATCTCTTTCATAAACATTCTGTAAAATTTGTATTGATCCTTATTTATCAATATATAATTTAGTGAAAGTTTTTGTATTAGTATTCATTCCCCCCTTCTATAAACTGATCATATAACTCTTGTAGATCCAGCTAGGACTAACAAAAAGGTTATTGCTTATGCTTCTCGTAAGTTGAAAGACCACGAGAGACACTATCCCACTCATGATATAGAATTAACTGCTTTTGTGTTTATTTTTAAAATTTGGAGACACTATTCGTATGGCACCAAATGTCATATTTTTACCAATCATAAGAGTCTTCAATATTTGTTCAATCAATGGGAACTGAATATGCGACAACGACGGTGGTCAGAATTGGTAAACGATAATGATTGTGAGATTTTGTATCATCCGAGTAAAGCTAATGTGGTGTCCGATGCTTTGAGCCGTAAAGAAAAGAGTGGAACAATCAAAGTCATTGCCTTACTGATAAGTGCAAATTAGTACATTTTTACGTCAAAGTACCTTACAATTAATGTTAAATATCTGCTTAAAAAAAGGTCCAATTTAATTTAAGTTAATCTAACTATATGAGGCCATTAAAGTTGAGAAAAATGTGTTGATTATGTGTTCTTTTTGGCTTAAACAGCAGCCCAAGGTTGCCCACCCATAACAGCAGCCCGTGAACAAAAAGAAAAGAAGAAGAAGAAATAGCAGCAGCCCAAGGCTGCTGCCCAGACCAGAAATCGATCGAGAGAGAGACGAGGGAGACGTGGGCAGCGAGAGAGAAATCGGGAGATCGTGTAGCAGCCAAACGTGGGTAGAGATGGGAGATCGTGGGCAGCGACGAGAGATGGAGGTGCGATTAAAGCTGTCCATTTGGGAATTTTTAAAAAAAGGAAGAGGAGGAAAAGCATAAATCAGGAGAGGCTGTAATCGAAGAGGACAGCAAAGGGGCTGTCGATTGAAAGCAGAAAAGGAAGTCGAGAAGGAAGGCATAAGCTATCGGTGAGGCTGTAATCGAGAGGGTGTAAATTGAGAGAAGGAAGGCAGAAGCTGGAAGTCGATCACGAGGCAAGAGGAGAAATCGAGGAGGGAAGAAGCTGTCAATTGAGAGGGGTCGATCGAGCGAGCTCGAGACAGTTTTCAAGAGAGCAAAGGGAGAACGGACCTGTCGATCAATTGAAAAAGAAACACAAATCAAAGCGGACAGAGTTGATAGAAGCAGTTTACATAATTCTTGATTTCAATCAGTAGGTCAGTTTACATATTTTGGACATGAGTAGCTAATCTTTTAATTTMTAGCAATGAGTATATAATTGACTTGAAGTTTGGATGAGTTGAGACTCAATTTTGTTCCACAATTAATTGAATTCATTTGTACAGTCTTTGAGTTTCAGTCCTATTCATTTTAAGYTGGAATYTGTRAGTTGKATCCCTTGCTTTTTYTGATTTGAACTCGTTATGCTAGAGGARTTTTTGAATACGTAATTGTTCTTAGATTTCTTCGAGTAGCAASCAATACTCAATTGACGCRTGTGTTAGTTGCAAGTATCRTAAGGTTGTACAATCTAACCYAAATAATYGRCGTCCGATTGTTGGTTAGGTTTGGTATTTGTTGATCTTAATGCAATTAGCGATTGAACTCCAAGTCCTTGACTAGACKAGATTAGMTAATTAGAGATTAGTTGTTAAAGCATTTTATGCTWATCGTGCTTTTGTAACAAATGAGGCATTGACGCGTGTTGAATGTTCACGCCAAACTGAATTCTTTCGAGAAAGTATTTATTTGAATGAGTCGATGATACGCAGTCCAAAGAATTAGTTGATTGTTGCTCATTACTAGATTTAATTTTCTATTGTCTAAAATTTTAATTTAATTTTTATGCTTAGATTAGTTGAAATTCCAACCCCCTTTTTTTATATATAGTGTTTTATTGTTAATGAATTTGCACACGGTTACGTCTTGGACCTACGATTAACACCGAGTCCCTGAGGAGACAACCCTACTTATCGCTATCACAAGTGTGTTTTAGAGATAATAGGCTTATTTTATAAAATTCTATTATTTACCGGACTCGACAYCCGTCAAATTTTTGGCGCCGTTGCCGGGGACTCGACAAAGTTCAACTGTTTATGCCAAGATCGTTTCGTGCAGGTTCACCATTGCCAATTGATCCGGAAATTGAGAAAACCGCAAAGAAGCTAAGAAAGCAAGCTAAGCTTCGAAAGAAGCAAAGCACGTCTACTTCTTCACCGGTTCTCAATATTTGGAAAGATATTGAGTTGTCATCCGATTCAGAAGACCAAACAGAGGAAGAAGAAGAGACGCCTCATTCTGAGCAAGAAGAACCGGTCATCGAGACTGAAGAGGAAATGGCGAATCCCAAACGCACTTTAAGGGAATGGGCAGCACCCAACGTCGCCGAGCAACCTCTTTGCATCACCTATCTGGCAGAAGAGGTAAGTACAGAACTTAAAACTGGTTTAATACACTTACTACCTTGTTTTCATGGTTTAGCTAACGAAGACCCGTACAAGCATATGACCGAGTTCCACATGGTGTGCTTGGGGATGAAGCCACAAGGCACGACAATGGAGAATCTCAAGCTGAAGGCATTTCCATTCTCCCTAGTTGACGCAGCTAGGGAGTGGCTTTTCTACTTACCGCCGGGATCCATCACCACTTGGGCGCAAATGGCGAGAACATTCCTCGACAAGTACTTTCCCGCATCCAAAGCCTCCGGGCTTAGAACAGAGATATGTGGGACCAAGCAGAAGGACATGGAGTCTTTATACAAGTATTGGGAGCGCTTCAAGCGCCTTTGTGTAAGTTGTCCTCAACATGGAATTTCTGATGAATTACTAATTCAATATTTTTATGAAGGTTTGCTACCGATGGAAAGAAAGATGATGGATGCCGCGAGTGGAGGAGCTATAGTGAACAAGATGCCAACTCAAGCGAGGACTTTGATAGACACCATGGCGGAAAACTCCAAGAAATTTGAAGTACAGAGTGACATTGGCCGGGGTGCTAGTGAGGTACATGTTAAATATTTAGAAACTAAAATAACTGATTTGACTAACCTTGTTAAACAGCTTGCCATGGGTAATATGCCTCAAGTCAAGGCATGTGGATTTTGCTCGTCAGTGGCACACCCCACCGATGCATGCCCGATTTTACATGAAGAAGAAGAGCAAGTGAACGCCATTGGGGGTGACAACTTTCAGAATTCAAGCAAGCGGGCTCCTGACCCTTTCTCGAGCACATACAACCCTGGTTGGAGGCAACATCCGAATCTGAGCTATGCCCTGAGGGAAGGACAAGGACAAGGCCAGCAATTTCAGTAAAGAGGTTCATTCCAGCCACCTCAACAGTTTCAACCTCAACAATTCCAAGCACCGTCGGGCTTTCAGCAACAACATCAACCAAAGGAACCATTTCAGTCGAGTTCCCAACATCAACATCAAGTGTCACCGCAAGCTCCTAGTGGCTCAGGTATGTCACTAGAGGATGTAGTTAAGTCTATGGCTGCTAACATGGTGAAATTTCAACAGGAAACTCAGGCAAGTATTCAAGACCTTCAGGCCACCGTTGGCCAATTAGCAAACAAAGGTAAATTGCCGTCTCAAACGGAGATGAATCCGGAGGCAAATGTGAGTGYTGTCACTTTGAGAAGCGGAAAGGAGCTTCAAGAGGTTGTAAAGAAGAAGAAAGAAAAGGTTCACGAGGAAGTAGAAGAGTTAGAGGTCAAGACATCCACTTTGGGTGCAAAGGATGTCAAAGAAGAGGAGTCAAAGAAGAGGACACCCGAAGTGATAGTTCAAGCACCGCCATTCCCGAGCCGGTTCGAGAAGACAAAGTGGGAGAGCGAAGAGAAGGAGATCCTTTACACATTCTGAAAAGTTCAGGTAAACATCCCTTTATTAGATGCAATTAAGCAAGTTCCTAGATATGCTAAGTTTTTGAAAGAACTTTGTACTAATAAAAGGAAACTAAAGGGTAATGAAAAGATAAGCATGAGTCAAAATGTGTCCGCTGTTTTGCAAAAACAGTTATCACCTAAGTGTAAAGACCCGGGCATGTTTACCATACCATGTAAGGTAGGCAATGTCTCAGTAAATCAAGCCATGTTGGACTTAGGGGCATCAATTAATGTTATGCCATATGCCATCTACTCATCTTTGGATGTAGGGCCCCTCAAGCCAACCGGTGTGGTAATCTAATTAGCGGATAGGTCTATTGTCTACCCTAAAGGGGTATTAGAGGACGTGCTTGTTCAAGTAAATGAATTGGTCTTTCCGGCATATTTTTATGTAATAGATATGGAGGAGAAAAATGCCTCCAATGCCGGTATGCTTTTGCTAGGTAGACCATTTTTGAAAACCTCTAAGACTGAGATAGACGTCCATAGTGGTAGTTTGACCATGGAATTCGATGGCGAGATGATTAAATTTAATATATATGATGCCATGCGATATCCGAGTGATGTTTCGTCTTTATGATTTGTTGATATTATCGAGTCTTTATCTGATACTATGTTTGATCTATCTAATGAGGATGTGTTAGAAGTGATTCTAGACAGGGATTTAACAAATGAAAGTTTTGATGATGATTTTGCATAATTGGTGTCTTGGATGTAGAAAGGGCGAGTACAAAAGCCAAGGTATGAAGTCTCTAAAATAGATTTGCCTATATCTCACACTAGACTTTTGCCTTCTGTTGAACAGGCACCCGAGCTAGAATTGAAGACGCTACCACATCATCTGAAGTACGCCTACTTGGGAGATAAAGAGACCCTTCCGGTGATCATATCTGCCACACTATCACCGAAGGAAGAAAGAGAGCTTGTGGATGTTTTGAAGGAGCACAAGAGGGCGATTGGATGGACCATCGCCGACATCAAGGGCCTTAGTCCCTCACTTTGCCAGCACAAGATTCTATTAGAGGAAGAATACAAGCCATTCCGAGAGGCACAAAGGAGGTTGAACCCACCGATAATGGAAGTTGTCAAGAAGGAGATACTCAAGCTTTTGGACGCCAATATGATCTACCCAATCTCTGACAGCAAGTGGGTAAGCCCGGTCCAGGTAGTTCCTAAGAAGACTGGCATTACTGTGGTAGAGAATGCCGAAGGTGAGTTAGTGCCCACCTGTGTTCAAAACGGGTGGAGAGTATGTATTGATTATCGTAAGCTTCATTCATCGACTAGGAAAGACCATTTTCTCCTTCCATTCATAGACCAAATGTTAGAAAGGTTAGCCGGTCGTACTCACTATTGTTTTTTGGACGGTTATTCAGGTTTTCATCAGATACCGGTGGCGAGAGAAGACCAAGATAAGACCATGTTCACCTGCCCCTTCGGTACATTTGCCTACCAGAGGATGCTTTTCGGTCTTTGCAATGCACTGGCGACATTCCAACGATGTATGGTGAGTATATTTTCAGAATATGTAGAAAATATTATTGAGGTTTTTATGGACGATTTCACAGTTTATGGTGATTCGTTTAGTTCATGCTTAGATAAATTGACCAAAATTTTAAAGAGGTGCATTGAAACTAATTTGGTTTTAAATTATGAAAAATGTCACTTCATG